GAGCCTCCCCTGGCACAGTTGGAGGCCATTCTGCGCCCATTCCCTGGGAAAAGATCCCAAATCCCCCCTGGCAGATCCCAAGTTCCCCCTGGATCCCCCTTTTCTCCAGGCTGAGCTGCCCCAGATCCCTCAGGATTTTCCATTCCTTTTTCCAGCTCTTCCAGCCCCATTCCCATGCCTGGCCATGCTCCAGCTCCTCGGGGAAGGTCAAAATCTCCTTCTCCTCAATCTTCTGGTGGTTTGGGGTTGGGCTGAGCCATATCAGAGCTCCTTCACCCAGTCCTGGGGGTTCTAGGACCTCAAAAAAACCTCTGGGGACTCTTGGGGATGGTTCTGTGCCTGACCCTTGGGGTTCCCTTCCAACTCAGGATATTCCAAGGTCCTGGGAAGTCCTGGAGGTGACCCTGACCTGGAGAAGGCGTTTGGGTGGTGGCCCCAGAGGGACACCTGGCCCAGCTTTTAACCAGACCCAAATCACACCCAGGCACTCCAGGCTTCCCCCTCTGGGGCTGCAATTCCACCTTGCCTCGAGTTTTATCCAAGGGAATGACAGAGCATTAGCTGAGTTTTGTTTCCAAGATGAAAGATTCCCAGGAAATTGGGGTGCCGTCATTGTTCCCGAGCTCCCAGCAAAGTCTCGTTGGGTGGTGAGGAAGAATTCCGCAGTTCCGGAGTTATTTGTGTGTTTAATTCTTTAATCACCACCTTTGGTGGTGCTGGAGGTTAAAAATGTTCCCAAACCTCTCCATGAGAGAGGAAATCCAAGTGGAATTGTGTTTTGTCCTTCAATTCTTAGGGATGAGGCTGAAATGTCCGGAAGAAAATGGGAGGCCGCAAAAAAACCTGATTTTTTGTTATAGGGTCAAGAATCACATCAAGGGGAATCACATCAGAAATGGGCAGAAATTAACATAAATGGACATAAATGGGCAGAAATTAACATAAATGGACATAAATTATCAGAAACGTCCATAAATGGGCAGACATTAACATAAATGGACATAAAGGGGCAGAAATTAACATAAATGGACATAAATGGACAGAAATGAACAGAAATGGACATAAATTAACAGAAATTACCAGAAAAGGACAGAAAGGAACAGAACTGAGATCCTGCTCCGGTCTGAGCAATAAAACAAATAATTAATGAGCAGTTGGTGGTGATTTCATTTAATCCCATATTTCCCCTTCAATCTCACAATTATCCAATGAAAAAACACCCCAAAACATCATCCTTTTAATTGGAAATTGGATTCCCAGTGGGAGCCCAGAAACTGCTCCAAAACTGAGATTCCAGGATCCAAACCAGCCTCAACTTCAGGCAATAATTCCCAAATTTCTGCCTGTTTATTTTCCTGCTGGGTGGTGTTGGCTGCTCCCTTCCAAGCCTGGAACTGCCCCGATAAAATCTGGGGAAAAATGAGGGTTGAGGATGGTGCTCTGCCCCCATCTGGGATGATGACACCGATGATTTCCTCTCTGCCGAGCGGCCTCGGAGCCCAATTTGGAAAATTATAGGGAAGAGCAAAGCAGCTGCAGCAGCTTCCTCTGATTTCATCTCTGTATGCAAAGCAGCCGGGAAGGATCAGAGCGGAGCCCTGGAATTCCTGAAGCCAGAAAATCAATTTACGGGCCACGACAATAACAACAACATCAACATCAACAACAACAACAACAACAACATCAGCGTGCCAGGAAAAAACAGGATGAGGAATGTCCCAGGTAAAATCTCTGGAGCTGGTTTGTTTGAGGTGAGTCTGGAGCTCCTCAGCACAAAGTGCTGCTCTTTAAAGTTTGTTTTTTTAATGTATAAAAATATGTTGTTTTGTTGGTTTTTCCCCCTTAAAATCCTTTGCAAAAAAAAAGCAACAATTCCTAATTTTTTTAAAAATTGAATTTATATTTCCAGAAGGATTTCTCTTCCAGCTGGGAAGGGAGTTTATCTCCTTCTCTTATCTCTTAAGGAACTCTTTGATCTGAGGCAGGTTCAGAGCTTGTGAAAGGAGCTTTGGGGCTGTGCCAGGGGTTTGCATTTGGGAGCTGAAATTTTTTGGAAGGATCTCCGTGGAATATCAGGGCTGCAAAACTACACAAAAGAAAAGATCCCATTAAAGCTTCCAGGGAAAAAATCCAATTCCAGAAACCAAACCCCAGGCATTTTTTGGGCAGTTTTTTGCTTTAAAATTTTCTCTCCTCCAAGACAATGGGACGAGGTTCTTATGGACTTTTTTCAAATATTGGGTTTGGTAACTCCTGGAATTGCCTCAGCTGTCAATCACTGTAATTAATAGGTGCTCTTAATTGCCACAAATTAAGTGAGTCAGACTGTTCTGTGCCGCTCATGTGTCTCCTCTGCTCATTAGATTGATTCCAGAGCCATGAAATGTAAATAAAACCATTTATTTGGAGCTTTGTTTTTGTGTTTTCCTTTCGTTTTAATACTTCACCACAACTGAGAAGGAAGAGTTTGGTTTTTTTAATGTAAATGTAAGCGTGGAAATCACATTATCAACATTTTCCTGGTCCTGGGGATATTTTTGAACTGAATTTGTGGGCCTGGACTTGAAGTAATGTTTGCTCTGAGTCCTCTAAGCCTAAACTAAATTCCTTTCCTCATCTTGGCCACTAAAAAACAGATCCCCAAAGGTAAATTTAATTTTCCCCAGATTTTAATATATTTTGGGTGTTTATTCTGAAGGGGATAACCCCTGAGATGAGGGATTGCAGATAAAATATAAAATCCTGGGCAGGTGCCCTTTTTTAGCTGAATTTCTGATGGAATTCTTGTCCAGGAATTGCTTTGGCACCTCAAATTTCCTACTTGGAATGTGAAAAGGAAATCCTCTGTTCAAAGGACAGCTCCAAAGACAGAAATTCCATAAAAACCCATAGGGTGAACACAAAGTGAACACACAGAGTGAATATTTTAGGGAAAATCCGCCTGTTTTAGGGCAAATCCCCCCCAGTGGACGGAGGGATTCCCAACAAAGGTCCTGGAAGGGTGAAGCACCTTGCCTGGGCCTGTGTGGGCCTGGGAATTCATGTTCCAAGTCAGAAATTCCATAAAAACCCCACAGGATGAACACAACATGGATATTTTGGGGAAAATCCCCCTGTTTTAGGGCAAATCCCCCTCAGTGGATGGTGGGATTCCTAGCAAAGGTCCTGGAAGGGTAAAGCACCTGCAGCTCCCTGGTGTAGGCCTGGGGATTATCCCATATCCCCTTGTGGGGCTGGGAATTTATGTCCCAGGACAGAAATTCCATAAAAACACACGGGGTGAACATAAAGTGAATATTTTAGGGAAAATCCCCCTCAGTGGATGGTGGGATTCCCAACAAAGACTCTGGAAAGGTGAAGCACCTGTAGGCCTGCGGATTATCCCACACCAGTGCGTGTGTGGAATTTAGAAGTCAGAAATTCCATAAAAACCCACGGCATGAACACAAAGTGACCACACACACACAAAATAAATGTTTTAGGGAAAACCCCCCTCATTTTTTAAGGAAAATCCCCCCCTCCATCCCCCAGGCTGGAGACATTTCCAGCAAAGGCCCAGGAAGGGTGAAGCAGCTGTGTGGGACTGGGAATTATCTCCTAATCCTAAGGCGTTATCAAAACAGTTGCGACAAGGGGAGGCAGGAGCAGGGAAAACATTCCATTTCACAAGGGCTTGCGTCAAGGTGGCTCCCAATTTCCCTTCTCCATGACGGGATATAAAAGTGCTCCTGACTGGTGGCCCTGGAGCTGCCTCTGCTGACTCGTTCTCCTTGCTGACTGGGTAAGTCAGATTTAGCTGAATAAGCTCCTAATTAGAGGTAATTTGGTTTATGGGGAGCTTTGAACTGAGGTTTTATATCCTATCCTAAATCAAGGGTAGAGTTTATTCTCTGAGCCTGTTCTTGCGTGGGAAGTGGGGCTTGGGATTAAGGTGGATAAAAGAGGGGAGAGGAATGGGAGTTTTAAAAATGTTGATGGGAGGAATTTTTAGGAATTGAGCATTTATTTATGGAGAAATAAACCCGTGATCAGGGTGGGATTGATTCCCAACAGGAAAGGGAATGAAGTGGGAGAAGCGATGGGAATGAAGTGGGAAAAGGACAGGGAGGTTCCTCCCAGAATTCATTCTGGGAATAGGAACAGGACAAAATACAGAAAAGCTTTGGGGTGACCCAATTGTGGCCTTCCAGGACCTGAAGGAACACGAGAAGAGACAATTTCCAAGGGATGGAGTGCAAGGAAAAAGGGGATGGGTTCACAATGATGGACAGGAGGTTTGGATGGGATTTTAGGGATAAATCCTTCCCTGTGAGCGTGGGGAGGCTCTGGAATGGAATTCCCAGGAAAGCTGTGGCAGCCCCATCCCTGGAACTGCCCAAGGCCAGGTTGGACAGGGTTTGGGGTCCATGGAAAGTGCCCCTGCCCATGCCAGGGGTCGGAACTGGATCTTCAAGGTCCATTCCGTGATTCCATGGAGGACTAGAGAGGAGTGGGAACAGAATCAGAAACATTTCCCCACAATTCCTGTCCCTTGATTGGTGCAATTTATGGAAAAGCGGATTGTGCCTTAGAAATGATGTTTTGTTTTTTTTTTAATTATCATTTTCATTTGTTTAACCACAAACTCATTTATTCAGATGATTTAATCCCACACATCTGCACCTGTCCATCCAACCAACATCTGGCAAATCCGCATTCTCAGCTCCCTTTGGAATCCAGCAAATTCTGAAGGGAATCTTCCCCCATACACCTCCCATTTTCTGCCAGATATCTCAGAATTTAGGGACAAAACGCATTTTCTTGCCCTGGATTCCCTCTCTCATCGAGAAGTCTGGAGACATTTTTTACCTCTAAAAGGCAGCACTTAAATAATTAAACACACAAATAACTCCAGAACTGAGGAATTTTTCTTCCAATCCAAATCCTTCCAATCCATCCTTCCCAGGCCGTGCCTTCATTGGGTTGGGACCTTCTCATCCTTCCAGGTTGGATCTGGAACGATGTCCTCCTATGGCCAACTGCTCAGCGCCCGCTGTGCTTCGCCCTGCGAGGTGACATGCGCCCAGCCCTACGTCGACGCCTGCAGCGAGCCCTGCGTGGCCGCATGCGGAGACTCCCGAGCCATCGTCTACGCCCCGCCCGTGGTCGTGACATTCCCGGGGCCCATCATCAGCTCCTGCCCCACCGAGAGCATCGTTGGGTCGTCCATCCCTGAAATCGGCGGGGGAATGGGGTCTGGAGGGGGTGGCATGGGGTCTGGAGGAGGTGGGATGGGGTCTGGAGGAGGTGGGATGGGATCTGGAGGAGGGATGGGATCTGGAGGCGGTGGGATGGGATCTGGAGGAGGGATGGGCTCTGGAGGGGGAGGAATGGGATCTGGAGGGGGAGGAATGGGCTCCACCTGCGGAGGGGGAATGGGAGGGGGAATGGGAGGGGGCTCCTCCTGTGGAGGGGAAATGGGAGGGGGCTCCTCCTGCGGGGGTGGGATGTCACGGCTGGGGAGCCTCTACCGCGGCTCCTCCTATTTCTCAGGCTACAATAGGAATTATTACCCCTATTATTCCAGAGGGTACTACAGGTATCGCTATGGGAACTACGGGAACTACGGGAACTATGGGAACTATGGGCCTTTTTAACCCTTTAAAGCTGAGGAATGTCCCAAGGAAAAATAGGATGCAGGGTAGTAGTTGAGAGCTAGGAATTCCAAGCAGTCTCTGCTCCAGCTGGTCCGGTTGGAGCTGGGGTTGTTTGGATCTTGTTTGTGCTTTATCCAAGGCTTAGGATCCCGATGTTCCCTCCCTTTGTCCCTCTCTCCTGTTGTGTTTTGTACTCCCTGAACCCAAAGAGTCAAACCTGTGAAAGTAGTTGTGAAAATGTCCGGCTGGAAAAAGAATGTCCTGGAATGACTGCTGGACTGGAGTCCAGGCTGAAATGGGAATGCTGAAATGGGAATGCTGAAATGGGAATGCTGACATGGGAATGCTGAAATGGGAATGCTGAAAATGGGAATGCTGACACGGGAATGCTGACATGGAGATTCCGTTCTTTGTCTCTGCACTGCCTCATCCCACTTTTTGTTTGTATTAAAGCCCTGTTGCATCACAGCCCCGGGTTCTGCCTTTTATTTCACCACAGTTTCAGTTACAAACTGGCCTGAAAGAAGGGAATCCTTGTGCAGCAATTAACTCTCATCAGAGGGGAATTAATTCTGCTTTAATTCAAATATAATTAGTCTGAAATTCCTCAATGAACTATTTTCCTTTCTGATCTATTCCACATTATCCAAAAAATAACACAGAATAATTTCCAATAGGTTGGAAAAACCTCCAGGGATGGAGACTGGTGTAGCTCCCAGTTAAAACCAGTTTACCCTTGGAGCCAGGGTAATGGGGGATTGGGATGTTTAGGGGTGACCTCATTTTGTGAGGATCAAAGGTTGGAGTTGATGACCTTGGAGATCTTTTCCAGGCTAAATGATCCTGGGGTTCTGCGGAAAGGAAAACCAGGAAGCTGCCAATGCAATTCGGAAAGATTTTTATTAGGGTGAAATAAATGGAATAGAACAAAACAGAGCAATTCATGGGTGGTGCCAGGGCAGCCAGGCCATCCCCACAAGGTGAAGCTGTGGCCTTTACAGAAAGCCCCACATGGAATTCTGAAGCATTCCCACCCCACCAGAAAGGACACAGGAACAAGATTAATTAAAGAGTTCCAGGAGAGGCATCGTCCCACGGAGTGGGGTTTGATTGAAGATGAGGCACAGCAGGAAGATGTGTGGGCCTGGTTTTCAGGGATCAGCCTCGGAATTCCAGGCCTGGAAGTGGATCTGGAGCCTGGGTTTTCATCCTCTGGGTTGTTGGGCCTTAGGATGAGCCCCAGCTCCCCACACAGGATCCGCCGCGGGTGCTGCGGAACCTCCGGCTGTACGAGGAGCCCCCCATTCCCAGGGAGCCTCCGTAGCCACAGGCACCCCCAGACCCAAAGGAACCCCTGGCCCCCAGCACGCCCCCGTAGCCACAGGACCCACGCGAGCTCTGCATTCCATAACCAAAGGAGCCCCCATATCCCAAGGGACCCCCCATCCCTGAGGAGCCCCCGTAGCCAAAGGAGCCCCCGGATCCAAAGGAGGGTCCTGCCCCAGCCATGCCCCCAGGCCCAAAGGAGCTGCCCACCCCATAGGGCTCATCGGAGATGCTGGCGATGGGAGCACCCATAACCATGGGTTGGGACGCTCCTACTATGCTCTCCTGGGAGCAGGTGCTCATGGTGGGGCCCGGGAAGGTGAGGACCACGGGAGGAGGGAACACCACGGCTTTGGAGTCCCCACAGGAGGCGATGCAGGGCTCCAGGCTCCTGCTGTAGGCACAGGGCTGGGTGCAGGCCACCTCGCAGCCAGGCTGGCACTCGGAGTTGACGTTGGACATCATCTCTTGGGATTTGGGATCAAGCTGGGAGAGGAAATGGGAGGTCAAGGAAGCAGCACAGCCAGGCCTTGGGTTCCCAGTATGAACCAGTTGTTCTTTGTCCATCTCCAGCTGCTCCCAGTTCAATCCTCTCTCACAGATTCCCATTTTCCCTGCTATTTCCTTCCTTCTTGACCTGTTTGAGGCTTCTCAGTTCTTCCTTTCCTACCACCACATCTCTTTCTCTTCCGAATCTCTCTCAAAATAAAAAAAATCTTCCCCTTTTCTCTGAGGCTGAACTGTTGATCCTTAAACAATTCCTTGCCCAGAATAAGTCCCTTTTCAAGTAGATCTACAGGAAGATTTCCCTTCAGAAACTCCCCAAGCAAAATTGTCCCATTCATTCCCTTTTCAGGTAGATCTACTGGAAGATTTCCCTTCAGAAACTCCCCAAGCAAAATCGTCCCATTCATTCCCTTTTCAAGTAGATCTACAGGAAGATTTGCCCTCAGAAAGTCCCCAAGGAAAATCTTCCTTGCTCTGTTCTTCCCTTTCCCCCAACTTTTCCAAGTCTACTCTTCTCTCCCTCAGCTTTTCTAAAACTTCTGGAATTTTGCAAGATAGAAAAGGAGAAAATTCGAAGTATTGAGGAGTGCAATGCAGTCAGACTTACCTCGTTGTCTTGGAGGGAATAAGTCAGTGAGGCTGCGAGGATGGGAGATGTCTCAGGTCTCTCCCCTTTTATTCCATTTTCAGACAATGAGGAGGACGTGATGTCACCCATGATTTACTAAATTCTTATCACTTACAAAGAAAAAGATCCTCTTAAGCCTTGCCATTGTTTTCATTTCATCTCATAATTGCTGATCATTTCCAGCCCTGATTTGAGTGACACAAACTCAACACCCAAAAGTCTCCTTTTGTCTCATACTTCGTGGAGGAAAATCCTTTTGGCATCATTCTTGTTCCAAAAGAAACAGGAGCTGATCTCTGTGTTTATTTTCCTTCAGTGACTAGCAGGAAGGTGGCTCCCCTCATGTCACTCACACAATTGGGGTGTAATCCTCAGATTTGGGTGAAATCCCTCCCAAATGGAATCATCCGACCTCGGATGGGGGTCAGGGCTCTTTGCAACCCTTCGTGCACCCCCAGATCGAGGGGATGAGACAGCAAAACTCCTTTCAAAGGCATTGAAGTGACACGCAAGGTCCTCTAAGCCCTGAAACCTCTGAGTAATTTTAATCAAAACTCATTTTGGGGATGCTGAGATCAGCGTTGTCACCAGGATGTCACCGGTGCCACTGCAAGGGCACAGCCCAAGGTCACCAAGCCTTTGTGCTCCAAGGTGGATCCCAAACTTGGAATCTTAGTTGGAAAAGCCCTCCATGGTCATCAAGTCCAACATTTGACCCATCACCACCTGGTCACCCAGACCAATGTCCACTTGTTTCTCGGACACCTCCAGGGATGGGAACTCCAAACCCCCCTGGTCAGCCCCTTCCAAAGCCCTTTCCATGAGGAAATTCCTCCTGAAACTATTCCCTCAAAATGGGTTTGACCTTCAAAATTATCTCATCATCAACCCAAGCTGTTCCTTGGTGCAAACTTGCAGGGTTGATCTTGCCCAGGCCTCACTTAAATCATTAATGAAAAATAACAGGCAGGGGTCAGGTTCCATTGTAAATGCAGTCATCCCCGGGATATTGCACAGGAACTGGGGCTGTAAAATTCCCACACAATGAAAAAGCCAAATTTATGATATGAGAGTCAGATTGTATATGTCGAGGGTTGATTTAATAATTGGGAACTATGAAAATAATTACAGGCATTAGAGGAGTCACACAGAGGAAAAAAATCAGAATTTGGTAAGGCTGAGAGATTTTATGGGATGTTTCATACCCCAGGAGCTGCCTCCAAAGAGGTATAAAAGCAGGGACCTCTCAGGAGTCTCCTCAAACCATCTCCTGACTTCTCCTGACTTCTCCTGCTATTCCAGGTGAGTTGGATTCAAGCTGATCTTTGCTCTCTCTCATTCTCTGTAGTGATAGTTTTGAAGAAGGACTTGTTCCTTGATTTTGGAGGATTTTAGCTGGGATATGCAGCAGTGAAATCCTGCTTTTTGCTGGAGTCTCACTGCAGTCATTGGAAGAAATCGATCTGATATTTAAAGATAGAATTTTAGGAGTTATTTGAATTTTTCTTGTGGCTTTTCAAAGCTTGAGGCACAAATTTAAAGCTTAAATTTACTGAAAAAGCCAAATCCTAGGTGTCTTCTACAGGGGACGGAGAAATGGTGCCCCAGGACAGGAGGATTTGAGGGAGGAGGTGATGCCGCACCTCAATCCCATGGCCAGTTCTGGGTCCCCCAACTCAGGAAGGTCATTGGAGGGCTGGAGAAGGATCTGAAAAATCCTGAGGGAGTTGGGACAGCTCAACCTGGAGAAAAGGGAGATCCAGGGGGAATTTTGGGCTTCTCCAGGGGGGATTTGGCATCTGATTCCAGATGCCAGGATGGCATCTGGAATGGAACAGGACAAGAGGGAACAGCCTCGAGATGTACTAGGGGAGGCTCAGGGTGGGAAATTTGGGGAAATCCCCCCTGGAAAAGAGAAAAGGCCTTGGAAGGGGCTCAGGGACATTTGGAGTGGCCACTCCTGGAGGTGTCCAAGGAATTTCTGGACACTGGCCTGGGTGACCAGGTAGGGGTTGGGAACAGCTTGGACTCGATGCTCTTGGAGCTCTTTTCCAACCTCGGGGATCCTTCTTCCATGAGCAAGAAGGACAAACCTCGTTTGCTGTCCATGGCATTCCCTGACCCCATCTTCTTTCTCCCAGCTCCTCCTCCATCCCTGAGAACCATGAACTGCATCAGCTCCCGGTGCCTGCCCGGCTGCGAGGTGGCCTGTCCCGAGCCCTGTGCCTACAGCAGAGGCCTCGGCCCCTGCGTGGCCTCCTGTGGGGACTCCACGGCTCTGGTCTATGCCCCACCCGTGTGGATCACCTTCCCTGGCCCCATCCTGAGCTCCTGCCCCCAGGAAAGCATCGTGGCATCATCCATGCCCCAGCCCTCCGGTGGTTCCTCCTACGGCTCAGGAATGGGAGGCTACTCTGGTGGCCTGTCCAGAATTGGGGGCTCCTATGGATCTGGGGGCTCCTATGGATCTGGGGGCTCCTATGGATCTGGGGGTTCCTATGGATCTGGGGGCTCCTATAGCTCTGGGGGCTCCTACGGA